TGAGCTGGCAGTGTTGCCTTGTGAAGCCCATTTTTAGAAGCCAACAGAAGTCCCAGTTCTGGACAAGGGTTTAGGAGATCCTGGGGTAATTTTGTGTAAGTCCACAGCTGCATTTTGTAGAAGTGGTAAGGGGCTGGCAGCTTTCCCCAAGGGAGCTGCTGGAAGGTCCCCTTGTGAGGACAGCTGGAATGTGCTGGCTGCTCCCATGGCATGCAGGAGTGTGGAAAGCTGTGCCCCATGAGGGAAATTTCTAGAGGTGGGCTCCAAGGTCTGGAAAGCAGCCTGTGGGTGGGGGTGGGAGAGCTTATTGAAATGTAATGTGCTGGATAAGCCCTGAACATCTGACCCCAGTGAAACTGGGGAAGAGAAGCACCGGGGCAGAGGAGATATCTTAGATATCTCCATCCCATGACCCATTATTTACCATTCCATCTTTCCAATACTCCTGAGCTGTTACTGCTCTTGCCTCCTGGTACTGATAAGCAGTGGGAAGAGACAGAAACCAGGGAAAGGCATGGAAAGTGGCTTTTTTTGGGAACACCCACCATGCAGGGAACATGCTCTGTGTGGGACCTGCCATGTGAGTGCTGCTTAGCACGGCCAACCCAGCTGGCCTCTGTGGCTCTGAGCTTGTTTGTGCCACATTTGGGTTTTCTCCACACTGGTCTAACCACTGGGATTAGTGGAAAACTGTTTTTTTAATGTGAAGTTTCTGCCAAAATTAATATATTTGAGAAAGTAATTTTTATTTCTTTAGAAATGACTATTTTACACTGGAAAGTTTGGGAACCAAAAAAATTTGCCAGCAAACCAAAGAATTCCCACTGTTTTTCAAAACTATTAATGAACAGTTAGAAAAGGTGAAGAAAGAAATTGAAATCTGCTCTATGCCTGGATTTGGGTTTCACTTAGAAGTTGGGATTGGACAGGACTTCCTTACAGTTTGCCAGATGCTGGCAGTCTGTGCTGAAAAACCATTACAGCTCTCAAGGACTGGGCTGATACTTTTGCTGTTGTTACACCTACTGTCTGCTTGCTGGAGTGTTCTTGTCACATGAGATGTTTCACCACACAACTCACCTGGCAATGTGGGCAAACCATGACTGCAACCCACAAGAGAGGACAAAAACCATCCCAGGAATGATAGAAATCACAATGATTTGGAAGAAACCAAAAAACCCCAAACCCACCACCAACAGCAACAAAACAAACAAAAAACCCCAAACACAAAACAAAAACACCAAACCAAAACCCAAACCAAATTTTACCCCACCAACTTTGAGGGTTTGGATGCTTTTTGCCTGAGCAGGAGTACATACATCTGTTTTAAATCCAGTTCAGAAAGCAATGTCAAGATATATTTTGTAACATACGAAGATGCTTACACAGATGTTCACTGAGAGTCAACTGGCACCAGGTGATGAAAACCAGATTGTTGTTGCTTTTCTCTCTGTGGTGAAAATGCCCCTAATCCCCTTCTTGACACGATGAAAATACAATAACCTTGTTTGCAAGCTCTCATGCAAAGTTCGTCCTGCTCCTTGGGAAATCTCGGTGCTTCTCCACATCTGCAATGAATTAAAGAACAGATCCAGGTGCTACTGATGTAGCCAGGAGGAAACCAAGATATGTTTGATGCCTTCTTCAGGGGTTTTTTTTTTGTTTGTTTGTTTTGATTTAGAGTCTCTCTTGCTAAGTAAATTGGCCATCCTGCAGAAGGGAACAGTAACTTGCAGAAGTCTGTCTGGTTCCCAGCCAGGCTGATGGAATGTTTGCAAAGGGAAATTTCTGTGAGGGTGAGAGGAAGGAAAATGAAAACATTTCATGTCAGAAAAACTGTGAAAGAAGGAAAGCCTCTGGAGGAGAGACTTGATTTGAGGAAAGGAAATTAGGGATACAAGAACTGGACAGTATTATTAATTTCTCCAAGGGAGAACTTCTCCACTTTGTGTCAGCTCAAGGATTTCACAGCAGCGTTCCAAAGAAAACCCAGGCACCTCTGGAAATGACACCAGTGCTGTAGTGCTCCTGTGGGCAAGCTCTGGCAGATTTAACTGCTGTGATTTAAAGCATGGCTGTCCCAGATGTTTGCCTTGCTTGCTGACTGGAAATTACTGCCTTAGAGGAGGATGTGGCATGTGCTAGGGTCTCAGAGCTCGAGTTTACAGGCTAGAGAAGAAAACTGCTTTTGCAGGTTTTTGAGCTGACACAATGGGCCATGGTCATGGGCCATGCAGTGAGACAGCTGTGGCATCAAACTGTGGCCAGTGCTGCCATTCCTTGTGTTGGGTAATCTCTGCTGAGAGTTGGGAGCCAGGCAGGGAACAGCAGCTTGGATCAATGCAGGTAAATCTGTCTGAGCTGTCTGTCAAACCCTGCTCTCTGAGACACAGGCACTCCGAAGCTGAGCCTCTGTGGGTCAGGCGCTGGGCAATGCCACCCAATGTTTCACCCTGAGCTGCAGCACCCACAGGCTGTGCAGGACAAGGCACAGGACAGCACTCAGGGTGTCAGAGCTGGGACCCCGGGCTGCCAATTCAGCCATATTATAAAGTGGGTTTTAGCTCTTTACACATACACAGCTAATTCTCTGCTCACGATTTAGGGATCCCTTTTACAGTCAGTGAAGACTGACTCTAAAATTCCCTTATGTGTTCCCCCAGAGCCGACATCTACAATAGGTGAGACAAAGCATGGTTTGAAAATGCCTATATTTCTTCACTAGTGCTAAGGAAAAGCTAGGATTTCTCACCCTGATTCTGAAGTTAAATTGAACAAATCTTAGGTTTTGTGCCCAATTTTCTATAATTCTGTGGTTTGCATCCTCAGAAACCAAGGCTGAATTTTCATACCAAGACAAGATTTACCAGCAGTGCATTTTCATTTTTGGAGCAATATTTGTGCTAATAATAATAATAATAAAATCATTATAAAATTTATCTGCACAATTTAAAAAACTGATTAGCAAGTGGAAGAAAAAAAGAACCAAGATAGTAGAACAGTCCATTGAATTACAAAAATGTTAGATTTTTGAAGGAGAAAAAAAATTTATTCATTTTATAAGACATGCTGTAAACAGAAAAAAAACCATTAAGTGTTGTAGATTCCACTTTACTGTTCACTTCTATGCACCAAGGATGGCTGCACTTGAATAAGGATAAAGTAATTTCTGTAGCTAGGCCTGTTTATGTAGAACTTGGGGATGTATTTGCTATTTAAATGGAAAATAATATTGTAATGCTTAAAAGCTCTGTTGTGTCTCTGCGTTGTGCAAGCTGCTTCTAATCTGTATTTGAAGTTCTGTGTTGCTTATCTTGAGATCCAGGTTGATGTTAAAACATGTTGCATGAAGTTCTGCCTACTTCCACTTGTAATATTCAGTGACAGAAAATGGATTTTGTGCTTGTAAATTATACTAAATTGGGAAGGACAATAGTGCAAATAGGGATGATCTGCGAGAACAGAACATTTGCAAAACAGACACAGAGAAATGAGGCAGAGGTCCTCCTGAAAAAATAATGAACACTTTTTGGCTTGGATTTTTTTTGATGCTGTTTTGTTTGTGATGGATTGTTTAGGCTGAGAAGTTGCTTAAAAACAACAGGACGCTGTTTTGTTACCAAACTGCGGGTGCGGCTCAGTGGGCTCAGCCGGGCACGGTGATGGGAGCCGAGCCCCGCCGCGGTTCGCTCCGCACACCGCGCGGAGCTGCGGGACGGGCGGCGCTGGGGCCGGGCAGCAGCTCCGCCCTCGGCCGCGCCCGCTGCGCACCGGCGGAGCAGCGCAGAGCCTGCCCGGGAGCGGGACAGAGGCGCGCAAACCCTGCCCGGGGAGCGGGACAGAGCCGCGCAAACCCTGCCCGGGGAGCGGGACAGAGCCGCGCAAACCCTGCCCGGGGCCGGAGCCGCGCAAACCCTGCCTGGACAGCGGGACACAGCTGTGCCTGCCCGGGGAACGGGACAGAGCCGCGCAAACCCTACCCGGGGAGCGGGACAGAGGCGCGCAAACCCTGCCCGGGGAACGGGACAGAGCCGCGCAAACCCTGCCCGGGGAGCGGGACAGAGGCGCGCAAACCCTGCCCGGGGAACGGGACAGAGCCGCGCAAACCCTGCCCGGGGAGCGGGACAGAGCCGCGCAAACCCTGCCCGGGGAGCGGGACAGAGCCGCGCAAACCCTGCCCGGGGCCGGAGCCGCGCAAACCCTGCCTGGACAGCGGGACACAGCTGTGCCTGCCCGGGGAGCGGGACAGAGCCAAGCAAACCCTGCCCGGGTACAGAGCTGTGCAAACCCTGCCCGGCTGTGCAAACCCTGCCCAGGAGCGGGACAGAACCGCGCAAACCCTGCCCGGGGTGAGGGGCAGAGCCGCGCAAACCCTGCCCGGGGAGAAGGACAGAGCCGCGCAAACCCTGCCCGCGGACAGAGCTGTGCAAACCCTGCCCGGCTGTGCAAACCCTGCCCGGACAGCGAGGCAGAGCTGCGCCTGCCCGTGGCTCTCCCTGCGCATCCCCTTCGGGCAGAGTGTGCTCAACTAGTTGAACTGGCTCTTTCTGTCTCGTATTTTTGGCAAACTAAGAATTTCCTTCCTGATAAAAAATGAGCGGCGGGCGCCCCGATTGGGCGTCGCGCTGGAGAGGATGTGACATCAGGCACATCTCTCGCTCGGCCGGGTCGCCGGCTGCCGAGCAGGGCAGCCCGGGAGCTGCTGCGGCAAATCCCAGCCCAGGCGCTCGGGTTCGTGCCCGGGGAGCTGCCGGCACCACGGCCCGGCCGCCGCCGGCGCTGCTCGGCTCATGCGGGCACGGTCTGCGCCGGGGAGCGCTCCGGCCGCTGGGGGCTCGCCGGGAACGATGGAATTTGAACTCTGGGAACCGAGCACAAAGTGAAAAAACAGCGGCTGGGCAGACAAGGCTGAGATGGATGATGAGAGAACAGATCACAATGCCAGCAAGCTGCACGGAGCTGGAGGCCAGGCGTGTGCAGCGGCGGCGGGTGCCCCGCGGATGAGGGGTAAGTGACACCAGTTGGGGACAGGGCTCTGCCCTGCTCGAGACAGCAAGGGACAGGGACAGGGGCAGGCTGCAGAGCTGCTGCTGCTCCTGTGTCCTGCTTCAGGACAGGAACTCAGTCCGCCCCACAAAACACCCCCATGCCTTTGTACTTCTGAGGGGATTTAAAAAAGCTATTTCTGTTGGGTACTGAAGTTTTGGTTGTTTTTCTTTCGTGTCATAGAAGAGAGTGGCTGGTTTTGTACTGCGTTTTGTGCAGGCAGAAACAAATGCAGCACTTGGAACACAGCACGCTGAGAAATAAGTTGAAGTGTGGCGTGTTTGACTTAAATTAGTGCCAGCAGGAAGCTCAGCACTGGCTCAATTTCTTTTTCTTTTTCTTTTTCTTTTTCTTTTTCTTTTTCTTTTTCTTTTATTTATTTTCCTTTTCCTCTTCTTTTTCTTTCTTTTAATTCCCTTCCTCCTTACTTTCCTTCTTTCTTTTCTCCTTTCTTTTGATTAATTTTTGCTTTTCATTTTTGTCTTCTCTTTCTTCTTTTTTTTTTCCTTTATCTTTTATCCTTTCCCCTTTCAGATGAACAGACCTAAGCGTTGTTTAGGCTGAGCCTACTGGGTTCTTCTGCAGTGGCATTGCTGTGACCAGTGCTGTTGTGTTTTATGCACATAATAGTGAGCAGTTACTCAGACAAATGGCCTCACTCCAGTCATTGCTCTGTGTCTGGCCCAGAGCCATTGAAAATATGACATGGTAAAAAAAGACAAGTAATTTAACTTCATATCCTGAGCTGGATATGTGTTCAATGTAGTTCTGTTTCTGTAAAGTTACTCCTTCATCTAATGGCGAGTGCAGATGGAACGAGGCACAATCAGAAAATGTGACTTTATGCTATTCCTTGCTCTTTTTCTGGGCTGTTCTGGATGTTTCCATTAATACCAACTTGAAAATTAAGAGCATAAAACCAAAATGCAAGGCTGACCAGTCTGTCTGCAGTGTAGTTGGCCTGCCCTTGTGTGTGCCACGTACATACAGCCTGAGGCTGGGGTGAGCAGGAAGGCACAGCAATATTATTATTAACAGTGTGAAATAGAACCAGTGCACACTGGAGATAAGCTCCAGCAAAATGGAGGGTGGAAGGAGGGAATCTCACATGGCCCAGTGCTGCACACAAATCATTTGGTCCTTTGAAAATCAAAGTCCATTCCTTTTGTGTCTGCCAGTTCCTCAGCAGAGTCAATAAGCTTTGCTGGCAATTTCCAGCAGGAATGTATTTGGCTCAGGCTATGTATATCACAAACTTTAAGGGACAGCCTTTGACTATGAAAAATACCATTTGTAATACTGTTCTGTATAAAGCTTTTGGATGTTGTATCTGCAAATATGAGTGCAAGAGCAAACTTGCACTGGAAGGACTTAAGAGCCCCTTTCAAGTTGCACAGTGTGTGAGAGGCATGGGAGGAAACCAGCCTGGGGACAGCCACAGAGGGTGGAATGCCCTCACATGGTCAGAGGTTGGGAAAAGTTGCTTCAGCCATCACCACAAAAAGCTGTGCTCTAGGAAGGTGCTGTGAGAGCTCTGTTGTGCACAGGGAGCAGTCAGAATTTGCATGTGTGCGTGGTTATTGCTGTGAGATTCCCTCTGTGTACACCACCCTGCCAGTGTCACGTGCCTGAGTGATGGCAATGCCATCAAATATGACAAGAGGTTTAATGTGACCCTGGGCTGGCTGGAGTTTGCTGCCCGGGGAGGGGAGCTAGGTGACCCAAAGCCACTGAAAGCCAGAGGGATTTGGATGTCTAGATGCTGAGCTTCTGGGGTCTGACTCAGCCTCCCTGTGGACTAAGGTGTGGGTAAAATTCAAATTTGGACAAATTACCTTGTTTCTTTGTGAAAGAGCAGTTGTACCTGTTTTTGACAGCCAGGAATCCTTGTTGTGGTGGTGGTACATACAGTGAACAGATGTGTCCCCCACATATACTGGCCTTGCTACTCCATATGCAGCTCTGGTGGCAGAGTGCTCTGGGCACATTCATGAAAGTCACTAGATCAGGATTTTGAAAGCCCATGGTCAGCTGGATCTGACATTTGCTTAGATCTTAATCAAATACAATACAGATCTTTTATATTCTGACAGTGTGCCTCCTCTGAAGTGTAAAAGAGGGCAGTGGGACATGGAAATCCACTGCAGCCTTTCTCCTCTTCCAGGCAAGAAACTTGAGTTCCAGCCTGGAGCAGGCCGAAAATAGAAATAGGGTTATTTGCCAGGAGGTGATGCCTTGGGTCAAGAAACTGGGGAAATTTCCATTCCTTCCAGGAGGTTTGCCTCCCTGGCATTGCTTCAGATTAGAGGTGTTTGCTGGATATAGAGGTAGGGCAGGAGAGACATCAGCCTGTGGCTGTGCAGTTCATGGCAGCAGATCTGGAATTCTGCCATCACAATTAATCACCAGTCAGGCCTTCAATCCTGCTCCTTCCAAGGTACCCAAGCCTGGTGTGATGGAATCCCAAGGGACTCCATGGGGCTCCACCAGGATAAAACTCTTGGTTTCTCTCAGTTACAGAACTCCCAAATAGATTACGTGTTAGCATATATCTCTTTGATTTTTCACTGACATCTATTTTTAATGCTTATATGGTCAATCTTTTAATTCACTGTTAAAACTTGGAAACTTGCAAGCCAACGGCCAGTCCACAGATGGCTGGTCTGGCTCTTTTTAGAGTTTCAGCAGAAATCTATCTTTTCTCAAGCAAGGACTGAATGGATAAGATCCGCACATGGATATGTCCCTCTTATATCATCATGACATGATGGCATCATAAGTTGGTACAGTGCACAGGTTGGTACAGGCACAAACGCCTGCCAATATTTGTGTGGCCAAAAAAAGTTCCAGTTGCAGCTCAAAAAACTTGTATTTCAATCTAGATTTTTAGAATATCTATAAACATACTTCCCTTACAACTCATGCAGTTTAGCCAATGGCGTTAGTTTCTAAATGGGAAAAGCTTTTTGCGTACCCTGGAAACACAACTGGGTGTAACACAGGCAGGACCAGCAAGAACAACAGCGCAGTCAGATAAGCATCAATTTGACACACATCACTTAGAGCAAAGCTGGTTTAGTCAGTTAATCATTCTGGGCTTTAATAATTGTAGCCCAGTTTTGCTGTCCTTATGAACCAGAAACCACAACTTCCAGAATTGACTGTCCATTTGCTAAAGCCAAAGGATGTTTGGAAACCTCATGAAACTGTAACTGTTGTGGGAAGCAGCCCATGGAACATAGAAGGAGGCAGGCAGAGCTCAAATAATGCTAATAACTGAGAATACTGATTTCTTTAAAAGCTAATTCATAGATTCATAGCCAGGTTTAGATTGGAAAGGACCTTTAAAGGTTGTCTAGTCCAACACCCCTGCAATGAGCAGGAACACCTTCCACTAGACCAGGTTGCTCAGGGTCCCATCCAACCTGACCTTGAATCTTTCCACAGATGGGAATCTCCCACCTCTCTAGGCAACCTGTTCCATTATTTCACACCACCACATTTTTATGTCTGGCCTAAATACACCTTACTTTAATTTAAAACCTGTATGATCATCAGCTTATGTGTAAACATTCTTAAAGAATTATAGTGGCTTATTAAGGTTGTTTTTGCTGAAGGCAGACTTCCTGCTGTTAAGGATTCCATTCCATGCATGTGCTCTCATATGGTTCCTGAGAACCTCTGCAGCTCAACCAGCAAATTGGCCACTGGAGTATTCTCTGTAGTTAGTGACAGGAGAGTGGGACATCCCCCAGAGAACAGCAAAATGTCTTTCCACAGGAAGCTGTGTGAAATGTGAACCCTCTGTAAAGGCTTCCCTTCCCTGCCAGAGGGAACCTGGGACAGTGACACAGAGCAGACACTGGGTTTAGAGTGCTGGGATGTAAATATCTCCCAGAGGGATTATTGCTGTCAGCTGGCTCTGAGCCATAAAATCTGTAATACTGAACCTCACTTTGTGGTTTCAGCAATGCAGAGAACCCAGCTATTACTTAAAATGCACCTCTCATAGCAAACACTGAAAACTGAAAGACAAAATCAACAGGTAGCACAATTTGTCTCCTTGTACTTTGGTCCTTTCTCTTGCCAAGTGTTGTTGACTCTAGTCCAGCTCTGAGCAGGGGTAAATGACTGACCAGCCAAACCCTCTTCAAAACATACTCCTTTTGAGATAATTGGTAAAATGTAATAAGTCTGTGACAAAAAAAAGGCACTGGGAATAATTCAGAGAGAGGGACAAGCTCAGCCACAGCCAGGTGATCTGCAAATCCCTCTCCTGTCTTCTGGAGGGGAATGCAGCTGCACAGTGCAAACATGGGATGAGTTAAAATGCACCCAGAGGGAAACCATCTTCTTGTCTGTCTCCCTCACAGCATTTGCTCCCAAGAAATCTTGGCAGCTCCAATAAAGTAAAAAGGAGGTCACACAGTTGAAGTAAAGTATGCTAGTGAAATAGAGTTTTTAGCCTTTTTCTGTCTTTGTTTTTGTACAGACTTTGTTTCAGACTGGTCTCCTTTACATGAGGCCTCTATCCATGGGCGTCTGCTTTCCCTGAAGAAGCTCATTGAACAGGTACCTCTCCCCTGGGTTCATGTGGTCTCTGCAGGGTTTGTTCAGTGGATTAATGCACTCTGTGCTTTACTGTGAAACTTCAGGGTGAGAGAATTGTGTTAACCAAGCCACAGAGAAATCTGCATGCAATGGGCTTTTCTTTCCTGCAGTCAGTTCCTTGCCCAGCACAAGCTTTGTGCACTAATTTGGTGATGTGCTGAGCTATGCAGGGTGATATGTTAACTGTTGCAGAGGTGATGGGATCACTGGGATCTCTGGGTGGCCAAGGGCAGCTCCTCTGCACCTCCTGTGCATGCCTGTGAGCAGTTTTGGTGCCCAGCTGAGGGGCCAGCTCTGGAGCCAGTTGTGGGTCTGCCTGAGGCTTCAATTCAGTCACCAGACATTTGTTTCTGAAGTGCCTTAGCATATCCCAGGGCCCTGGTCCCTCCAGAAGGTCAGGGATAGGTAGAAGTGATTTCTGAACCTCAACACTTTGTTTCTTCAAAATTCCTGGGTTTAACCTGTGAAGGAGGTAATGGGAAGGGAAGGCGTGTTGGAGACTCTTCCAGCTTAGTCTTTTGGAGCACCAGGATTGTAAGAAACAAAAGGTCCTGTGGAATCCAACCAATGTTTCTGATGCATTTCTTCCCTTCAGCAGCTGCCTCGAGGCAAAGAGCAGAAAATACTTCAAGAGCAATTCAGGGTTCCAGCCAGTCAAACAACCACAACATTCTGTCCCACTGGACAGTGCACTCAGGTTTTGTGCTGGTTTTCAGGGTGTGCAAGGCATGGCCTCAGGTATGCTCTGCCAGTGTCCACTCCAGCCAAAACATCACAGCCTCTTCATCCCCTTCATCTCTTATTTTGTGAGAGGAGTAGCTCCAGGCAGCTGGGGAAGGTCTGGTTACATAAGGCTTTTAAAGAAGAGGTTTTTTTTAATTGTGGATTTTTATATGAGGGTTTTAGTAGTTGGTTGTAATGATATTTTCCATTATCTTACCAGGGGAATGATGTCAATCTTGTTACAGCAGACCAGGTGTCTCCTCTCCATGAAGCCTGCCTAGGGGGTCATGCTGCCTGTGCCAGTGTCCTGCTAAAACATGGTGCTCAGGTGAGTAGGTGATGGACAGACCACCTTCTCCAGTGTTAGTATGTTGTATGTGATGTCATGGCAGAGTATCTCTGTGATTTACACTCTGTACTTAGCTCTGCTTAAGGTACTTATGACATGCACTTCCTCATAGATCAATCCAAAAAGCACAGATAAAGGCAACAATTATTATTGTTCTTTAGATGAGGATGAAATGTTCTCATCTTTCACAAGAACAAGGGGAAGTTCATCTTGCGAAGTGTTTATAGTCCTTCAGCATTTAAGAGTGTGTTTTGTTTTATGCACACAATCTTACTGATATCAATACACAGAATCTTAAGTAGAGGCATAGGAATGTGACAATCAACTGACAAAAAATGGGAAGAAAATGGAAACAAGATGCAGGTAAAATGGTGAAATGGTGTTTCATGGCCACTACTTTTCAAGCCAACTTCAAAATTATAGTAAATAAGTAAATTGTTCATACATACATTACCTTACCAAATATTACCTTTCAGTTTAAAATTAAAAAAAAAAATAAGAAATAAGGAAGGGTTGCACACTTTCAGCCAGAAATGGACTGTTTCAGGAGAGGGCTATGGGTAGGTATGTTTCAGCTAAGATAACTGAGAAATGGTCATACATTTAGCTTGGTAATTCCTGAGAGACCCTGGAGTGGCCCTGACGATTTTTGGTTTTTTTGCAGTAGAGACTTGGGGGAAATTTAAAAAAATACTTTTTTAATGATCATTTTAACGAAAAGTTGTAGTCTTCAGAAGCACTGGAGAGTTTTGCCATGGAGTTAAATAAAGAATATTGAAACCCCTATTTTCTGCTGAGAAACTGGTTCATTATCATCAATTCTGAAATACCAAGAAGATAAAATTCTTGCTGGATTTCTGTGTTATTTTCCCCCAGGTGAATGGAGTGACTGTTGACTGGCACACACCCCTGTTCAACTCCTGTGTCAGCGGCAGTGTGGCTTGCTTGAATTTACTGCTGGAACATGGAGCCAGCCTGCAACCACCCTGTGACCTGGCATCCCCCATCCACGAAGCTGCTAAGAGAGGTAACCCCACAGCATCAGCCTCCTTTCCATGCTGCTAGCAGCAAGTGGAGGAGAGAGATAAAGAAGATCTTTATTATTGTCAATTAGCAAGGCATTTTACATGACCCAAACCAAGAAAATCTTGGTTTGGGTCATGTAAAATGCCTTGCTAATTGGTCTCATCATGAGGGGTGCAGTTCTTCCCACCCCTGTTGCTCCTCAAGGGCAGGTCAGCTCAGCTATCAGATCCTCTGAGTTCACCTGGAAGGGAATGCAGTGTCCAAATCGGGCAGTGCCTGCAACATGGACATTTGAGGGAGATGTCTGGATAGCTTCAAAAGGAGTGCAGAGAACCATCTTCAATAGACATCTGAAATGAGTGAGATAAAATGTGAGGGCTTTAGCCTGTGAGGCTTTAGCCTGCTGTGCTGAATGTGGCTTTTCAGCTCCTGTTTTGCTGGCTGCATCCATTGGAGTGGATCAAAGTATTACACTACCACCTCTTGACAAAACATTGAATCTTTGCCAAACCACACTGCTCCAACAGAGAATTTGCTGCAAAAAAAAAAAGCCTGATCTCTGTGAGTTGACTCTTTCTTTATCCCTTTTAAGGTCATGTGCAATGTGTCGAACTCCTAGCGTCCCGTGGGGTGAATATAGACAACAACATCAAGCACCTGGGTACTCCACTCTATGTGGCATGTGAGAACCAGCAAGTGAGCTGTGCCAAGAAGCTGCTTGAGTCAGGTAAAAACAAAAATAAAGAATGGTGTGCTTTCATTTCCTGCAACATCTATCTTTGGATTATCTTTGCATCAAAGATTTAGGGGAGCTCCTGCTTTGGGACCAGGAGATGTTTCACTCCTAAGAGCAGCTCTGGTTAAATGTGGTAGCAGGGGGATGAGGAATTTAGCTTGATAGCTCACAGCAAAATGATGGGTGATCCTGGATTTCACATGGCTGATTGTGCATGAAACAAGCTGTCCTTTCCAGTGTCTGTGCATGTGCGGCTGTGGTTATTTGAAGTGAACTGGAAGACATTTTATTTTAATTTTTTTTTACCTCCTCTTTACCTACAACAATTGACTCAGCCATTTTTACACAGTATTTCTGCAAACATGTTTTGATTTCCAACGAGTTCATAAAAAGTGGGACACATTTCCAACACAGAAGAAGATTCAGCACTATATCCTTTGCCTCACACAAATGCTTGGGTAATTACACAAAATCATTTCTTGTTATCCACAGTAGTACAGATCTTCTAGCCAAAGGGGCCATATAACCTAAAGTAGCCACATAGCTGGTACAAAAATGATGGACCAACAAAGCTACTTTAGAAAAAAACAAGCACAAATCATTAATTATGGATATCACATTTTAGCAGGTCACTGTTTAGTACAGTGACCTTTTTTGGGAAGAAGTCAAATACAAATTAATTGAAATATTTTTAATTTAATCTAAATTAAATGTTTGGCAACTATTTATTCTGCTAAATTTTTCTGCTGCCTCCTGTATATGGGAATGGGTACTCTAAAAACATTATAGTTTTGAATTATTTCTGCAGCTCACCTTTCTTAGGGTGTTTTAGGAGCCGTTAATCCAGGGTAATGAATGGGGGAGCTCTCATCAGGGGTGCTTATGCCCTCTTTGACCAAGGACCTCTGGAATTTTTCCATCCTCACATTTTTCCCCTAACAGATACTTTTTGGAAATCCCACAAGCTTAAGCCTCCAATACAGAGCATATTGAAATCCTGCATTTATTTTAAGAGATGGGAAGCAGAGGTGGTCCCTAGGTGGAACTACACCTCTGTCTTGCTCCAAGATACCCTTGGGCTGGGCTGGGGGTGAAGGACTTCCTCATGCACCATTGCTCTGGGATCATTTTCCTATTCACAGGCCCACTCTTCAGCCAGTGAGAGTTGTGCTCGTGCAAGCTATAGCACCCAGCCCCAGCGTAAGGGAGCCCAGCTCTGGGTGCACGCTCCAGCACTTGTGTGTTACTCAGAGAAGTAGCAGCTGGTGCAGGGAATGCAGATGGGCTGCTGGGCAGTCATGGGTGTGTTCTCACTGTTGTTTGCCCCTCCTGTTGTTCAGGAGCAAACGTGAACAGCGGCAAGGGCCTGGACTCGCCTCTGCACACGGCTGCCAGGAGTTGCAGCGTGGAGCTGGTGAAGCTGCTGATGGACTTTGGAGCAGACCTGTGGCTGAAGAATGCTGAAAACAAGAGGCCAGTGGAGCTGGTCCCACCTGGCTGCCCTGTGGGCCAGCTGTTCCTGCAGAGAGAAGGTGCCCCTTAGAACCTGTTTTAGGGAAAACCCACACAGACTGCTGCGCAGGGCTAGGCTGTTCCAGGCTGCTAGCGCTAGGAAACTGGGAATAACTGAGCTAACAGTGAACTAAAAGTGATAATGATAAGAAAAATAACCCATCCTGAAACTCCAGATTTTTAATCTTCTGCATCAGGAAGCAATCATCTTGACCTTGCCATTTAACGCAAAATAGAGTTTAGGGTGAATAAACAAGCAAAAGATGCCTTATAAATTAATGGTAGCTTTTTTAAATTGCCTAAAGCTTTGAATTTAGTCAGAATGTGTCAGTTCCCTTGTGTCAGACAGCAGTAGACCCAGGAGTGTTCCATGGGGTATGCTGACAAATGCAGGCAGCAAATCACCTCTAATGGGAATTAAGGCTAGGTAGTGAGGATGAGGTTTGGGATCTCTGGATATACAGTAGATCAGATATAGTAGGTCAGGTTTGTCTCAGCACAAATGCATAAATGCAGATTTGCAAGCCAAAAAAATTTAATGCATGTAATACTAGAAAGGTATATTGAACATGGGTTTTAATTCTTTGTCCTTTGCTTTTATTCTTGGGCCAAGCTGTTACATAGAAAAAGTATCTTTAAAATTAAAGGCTACATGATTTTTTTTTTAATATTAAGGGAAATTGCACAGGAATTATATATTTATATTCATTTATACACTAGACTTTCTCTAAAAATCAACCTTATGTGCTGAATAATAATAGCAGTATCAAACCATAAGCCTAAACTTTAGGAAGAGTCTATTTCATACTTGTAAATTAAATAGTTTCAGGTAATTGTATATTATTTTGTTGATTATGAAATCTTTAATTAATTATGGAGAAAAATGTTACTTATTATTGAGGGAAATTAGAATGAGATCCATAGTGTCTACTCGTTTTTATACTTGTGTTCTTCCTTAGATATTCTCAGTCAGTCAGCAAGCTATATACATTACTAAATAATCTGGATATTATTGTTTTAAAAAAAATTATGATTTGTTTAAAACAGTTACACATTGATGACATTGTTGCCATAGAAAGGTAAAATTGGAATAGCAAAGTGATGAATCAGGCCCTGCTTGAAAAAGTAACATGAAAGTTGCATGGAAGCAACTGTGCTGTGCATGTTATGCGTGAGCAAAGGATATTTGGTTTCCCAACCTAATCTATGGCACACAGAACAGTGATCTCTTTGCGTTCCAGTCCCTGCTGCATTCAGTTCCTGGCTCCTGTGGCACTGCATGTGTCCTGTTTATTTCAGATAGAAAAACATTTCAGGCACGCCCTGTGCTGCTGGCCTGGAGCACTGCTCAGGCTGAGCTGACAACATGGGCAGTGAGGAACTTTCTAAGTAAAATTCAGCAATCAAAAACAGAGACAATAAATGCCTGAAGGGAATTTTCCTGTGGAATAGTGGTTTTTCTGATGTTCTCCAAGGTGCCCTTCTCTGAGTGGGGTCATGCCTGTGGACAGCTGATGTGTGGCTGCTTTGGCTGGCTGAGCTGTTGTGATCTGGGAGAGTGGTGCAGGAGCTGCTCTCCTCCATGCAGGCTCCTCTGCCCCCAGAGCCAGCTGCTGCAGGGAGTGTTTGGCCACCAGAGATGAGCTGTGAGTGTGCTGACCCAGTCACCTTCCCAGGACCAGCCCAGGGCAGGTGTAGTACCTGTGGTGGTTCCCTTCCAGCAGTTCACTGTGCTGCTGGACCATCAACCCTGCTTACATCGCAGGGACAGTCCTGTGTGGGGGTGGGAGAATTGGTCAATGCTCCAAAAATGTACTGTGTGCTTGTGTTTGCAAAATATTTTCCACTGTAGTGTCACTGCTTGTGTTTTGATAAGTCTTCATGTTTTGGGCTTGGTTGTTTTTTCTCTTAGTGGAAGCTTTTGTTTTTTCAGTGAGATGTTTGCAGGCAGAGCCTTTATTTGTGGGATCAGAGTCAAGCACAAGTGCAGAGTGATACTGCAATACTTTAACTAGCTTGCCTTGTTTTTTACCCAAGAACAGGGTAACAACTCTCATGCTGCCTCCTAGCAGAAGGATGCAACCCTTGTGATAGCACGGCAGCTTTCAGCCTTGCAGAGCTGCTGGAAGTGTGGTGTCCTGAACAAGGGAAGTCTCAAAAGCTGATCAAAGCTGCCACCTCACTGCATTTTTGTTGTGGCCTCCCTTCCTTCCTTCTGCTCTGCAGGAGAGAGAGCACCTGAACTGTCCCTTCCCAGCTCACCTCCCTCTTGCTCTCTGCAGTGTCCCTTTCATGTCCTCCCCATTCCCTGCATCCAACCCCTTCACTGGTGCCCATCTTTTACCAGCCCTCCCACAGCCCCTGCCACCCTACACACTCATCACCTCTCTGCAAACCATGCTCTGCAGGGCTGAACACTGGTGGGTGCTGCAGGTAGAACTTCGCATAGGATCCTCCTCTTCCTGAAAAGGATTTTCACTTAGATTTTTTTATAAAGTGACAAAGATTCTTCAACAGGGCTCCCATCTATCAATATGGGAGCAGTTCACCTGGAAGGTTTAAATAAAGAACTATAAAGTGCTTCTTTTGCTATGTGTTCATCATCACTGTTATGAAATATGCCTCAAGAAAGCAATGGAGTGTAAACTTTGATCTCACTGGGGGAGTGAGAGGAGGGAAGGGCTTTTAAAGTAGCATCAATCATCTCTTCTCAGACAGTACAAACATTTGTACAGCTTAAAAGGGAAAGGTTGATGCTGCTGATGCCAGTTGAGTAATGACAGAGTGACTAGGCATGAACTGGATTGCAGGTGGGGAGGTGTCCTTTGGGGGATGCAGGTTTGACTTTTCACTGCTGAGTGTGAAAACCTGGTGAGAGGTAGGAGGTGGGTTGCACAGCTGCTGTTTCAGGTTTATAGTCTTGGCATTACAAAGCCTTGTGTGTAACCTGTTCCTGGATCTCTCTCAGGGCCACTGTCCTTGATGCAGCTGTGCCGCCTGTGCATCAGGAGGTGCTTTGGACACCAGCAGCATCAAAAAATAGCTGGACTTCTCCTCCCAGACGAGCTGAAACATTTCCTTCTCCACATTTGAGCCTTTTCATGTTGAAAACAGTGCCTTTAATAACACAACAAGGTTTGTGAACTTTTTTCATCACTAGTGTTGCCAGTGTTTGCAATGATAATTTATGGCAATTTTTAGTTTCCAGTAAAGCCCAGGTCAAAGGAGCACAGGACTGACCAACTTGCTCAGTCCCCAGTGCCATCACCCCCACCAAATCCATTTGGAAAGGAACAATCCTGCATGGTGAAACTTGGAAATGTGATGTGAGGGCACCCTTGAAAGCACAGAAAATTAGTGTAACAATTTAAAATAGATCTCCTGATTCTCTGGCACAATTTCACAGGTCTTGTGGTTGACAAGCCCTTACAAAGAAAACACATATCCAGCCCAGCAGTAACAGCATTTCATGTGAACATGAGGCACACCACGAGAGCTGCAGAGAGCTTTCTCACATGCCTGTCACCTGTGAGGGCTGTGCCCACAGCACCACGAGGAAGGGGAGGGAACCCAAGTGACCCCAGCTGCCAAGCAAGGAAGGCCCTCTGGCAGAAGTTATTTATTTTCTAAGGGTATCACACTGCAGACAGATAAGCACCAATCAACAACCATTTGCATTTAGGCCAGCATCCAAAACAAGCATTTCTGCCCTGACAGCAAATAGGTCACTGCTGATGGCAGCTCCATACAGTGCAATAATAGTGGGGCAAAAGTTTTTAATCATCTGTTAAAGAAAATTACTCCTGATACTTTGAGACATAGAAGACACTTCAGAACTACCCATTTTCTCCTTGCAGCATGTTAATTTTCAAGGACACAGGCTAACAGGCTATCAGTAGCAAGCATTGAATACTCTTCTTTTCTGCTCTGAAAATTAGGTGGTATTTCCTAAGCATTTTTCAGCATGCATCAGAAAAACAACAGCTTCTAGACCCCTTCTCCACCCAAAAAAATATTAAGAGTGGGATAATTTTTTTTTCTGAGAGAGTTGCTACCTCATTCATAGCATTTGCCATGGGAGTGGTAATAATAATGCCTCTAATGTGTGGTCATAAAACAAACAATGAAATCAAAATCCATTCCAAATTTAAAAGTAGTGGGCAATTACTGTCCCCTGGTCAGTTCCTGGGCAGTCGACTCAGTGTATGACATATGTAGTTCTTATTCCACTGAGGTCATAAGAACAATTATTTCCAGCTAAACATTAACACTGGGCATTTTTCTTTCCCTTTCAGAAACGGGTCCTGCTGCCACAAACCGAAGTGCAGTTGTGACCAGTCTGCTCCCTTGGGTGCTGCCCTGGGGATATCAGCTGCCCGATGGATGTATCAGGGAGTAAGGATGGTGAAACTACAGCTCTTCTTCCCATTGCCCTGTTTCCTTTTGAACTCTAAACCAAAGTGCATCTGCATCACCTGGGAGCAGCAGCATGCCCAGCACCGAGGGGCTTCCATGTCACCCCTGAGCTCAAGGGCCAGCCACACACTTCACTGCTTCTGGAGATCCCTTTTCACTTCTCTGTGGAGACTCTGTAAGAGAGGGCTGGGAGTGCAGAAGCTGCTGAGATCACTAACAGCAGCAATGAGAGATACAGAGCCCTCAGCTCAGGAGTGGAGAGACTGGCAGCCTTCAAATACATGAAAGCTGATATTGGTGTTCGCCAGTGTGAGCAGTGCCAGCCTGCCTTGTGCAAGGGGAGGGTTAGAGAGGAGAGGTCAAATGCTGCCTGGGTGCTGGTATTTGATGTAAATCACAATTCAAATCCTTGTCTGCACAGCATGACTGCTGGCTATAGGTATCCAGTGTGATGGTTTGATTCTTTTGTGCTGACACATCACAGTTCTGTTGGGTTTGTGGGACACTGAATTGTACCCTAATGGGACAAAGTGACACACAGAGCTAGATCTCTAACTCCTTTGGTGATAGAGACACTTGGGAATGTGTCACTTATCTGGCCCAATTCATCACACATATTTGAGCCATGTAAAAATCAACTGGCTGGTTTAAGATGGATTTCTATATTGTTTTCCTCATGCCCAGAAAGAAAAGTAGACATCTGTTTTCACAGAGGTTAAATAAAAGCAGGTATCTGGGATGGAAAGGTATATTCTTCTAAAATCACTGTCTTAGTTAAGCTGAATCTGCATTGAACAGGCAAGGAATGGACAGTGAACCTAGCGTTTAAATTTTGGACATTAAAGTTGCTTTGGTGACACAGTGGAAAAGCTGGAGATCCGTCTCATTATATTCCAGATGATGAAGAAGATGATGAATATTTTTGTATGTACTAATTTTACTTTTGCCTTTATGCATCTTATTTTGTAACTTCAGCCAATGGGTTTATAGGAGTAATTATAATACCAGGAGAAAATTGTTCTGAGAACCAGGTGAGGGTGCTGCTTCTAGTTTGCTTTTCTTATAAAAATTTCATGGTATGACTCTGTTTACTTGAACTTCTCTGCCCAAGTGGAATTAGGATGAATTCTGTATGCTCAGCTTGTATCATCTCTGTGTGTTTACTTATTTATTTTCATAAAAATTGTGGTCAACACTGGTGAATTGCAGCTTTATGCATCAACACTTATCCAGTTATAAACTGTAAAAGTACAAGATGCAAACTGAATAAGCTCTTTATAGGTGAGGTTTGGATTTTTTCTATATTTGAAACCATTAAAAATATAATGCAGGATTTAAATGATTGACAGGAATATATTTAATCACATTCTTTCTTATTTTTATGTAAACAGTTTAATGGTAGTTAAGTCACAGAATTTTGTAGGATATTTTCTCAGAAATAAATATTTCATACTCTTTTGCTTGGTAATTTGTTTTCATTCAGTTTTTAAATGATAAGCCTAATTTTGTGGATCGACTGATGCTATGGAGTTTTGAATTCTAATTTCTTGCAATCCCACCTGCAGGCAGGTAGTGAACAGAATATTTCCTTCAAATAAAACTATAGTAAATATGAGACTAAAATGCAAATACTGTACAAATCTTACCTTTTGTCGATGTTTTAATGTAGAGCTGGACTCCTGAAATTCCTTCTTTGCTCACTTGAGGGTTAGTGAAAAGGAGATAGAAATTACACAAAGGAGGAAAAGATGTAATTTTAGATGGTCACTGTCTTCAGCTTGGTTTTGGGTTTTTTGGGGGGTTTTTTTAGGGTTTTTTTTGGTTTTTTGGTTTTTGGTTTTTATTTTTAATTGATTTGCATAAATTTATTTCTCCTGCCAGCTAAGCAAAAGGCACATGCAATGTTCTGGTGCTGTTGTGTGTTTGTACACAGCAGGAGCCCTTTACTGGAAGTGAGGGTGGAGGTCCCAGTGTGGTCAGAGGCCCAGCAGGTGTCTGTCAGTGCCCAGGTGTGGGGGGACAGTCATTCCCTCTCCATTGGATGCATCTCTGGGAGTCCCTGCCCTCAAAGACCAGCTCAAAGAGCAAAGGCAGTGCCAGCAAATTGCTTTACAAGGGGATTTTTTCTGATGGATAGAGAGCTGCTTATGGAAACTGTGGAACTAAAAACACCTCAACAAAAGAAAACAATGGATTTAAGCAAGACAACAATCTTTTGTTTTATTGAAATATATCTGGTTCAATAAATCTCTGCAGTTGCTAGGTGGGATCAGCCACATCCCAGGACACAGCTCTTCTTTCTGCAAAGGTCCACAGCTGTCCTGTGCATTCCTTGTTTTATATTTTCTCTTAACTGGAAAGGACAGACATGCAAATCTAGTAAATGTAACATACAGCTTTGGTGCATATTCAGAGAATGTCCTCTTGCCTGTCCACTGACATGAATTCTTCTGAAGATGACTAAGAAGGAAATAAATTTTACTTTACTAGCTAAACCAAATGGGACAGACTGGCTGAAAAATAGTAGGTTAGTGGTGAAAAAGAGAGTACTTTTATGCCTAATATGGGATATGCTCAATTCCCATCGGACTCATGTTCTTGAGAATCTTGGGTCTGACACTTGATGCTTCTGAATTCTCTTTTTCTTGCTTAACACATGCACTGTATTTGTCAAAATGGAGGCTGCCTTGCTCTGCAGTTCCAGCCTGAATCCTGCTGGCTTTGGATAAAAATTCCCAGGAGTTATTTCCATGTATATTGAGCAATTATTTGTCCTTCCTTGACACATTGCTCAGCTCACTGCTCCAAGGGATTCTCACTTTCATGCACCAGGCAACATTCGATGCAAAACTGCTCTCTAGCATACCTAGGGGAGTCCACTTTTCTTTAAAATGACAGCAGTGAACTATTGCTGGGAAGAAAAATGTTTCAAATTCTTACATCATTCAACACAGTAACCCTTACTGCATCCCTGCCTCGGTGCTGGAGAATACCTGGCTCATGTCACCCTGCAACAAGGTCTTGTCTCTTCTGTGCCAGGTGAAGCCTTTCCTTTCTGAAATACTTCCCTTTGCACTTTTAAAGGTCTTAGAACTCATTAACCATCCCTGATTCAAGTGACACAGCACTAGATTCGTGGCTTTAGTAAAATTGAGTTTGTAATCTGTCAGCTCTCTCACTTCACAAATTAAACTTGGAGTCTCTGCCGAGTCTACGGCTTTTGAAATCCCTGGAGCTTTTCTTTCTGTGGTTTGTAAAATGCAGCAGTAGCAGCTCTTTGTCTCATGAAAGCACTGACTCTGAATCACAGAGGTTCATACAGACCTTGGAAAGATGTTTTGAATAGGACAAGTGTAGGGTTGTCCCATTGTCATCGAGACTGCGCTTTTTATTACCTTATTTTGAGGAAAGGGAGTTGCATTTTTTTTTCTCTCTGAATAAATAATACCAGAATAGGAACAGTTGGTATTTCTGGGAATTTCTGAATGGGGCAAAGCTCCCAGCATCTGCTTTGCTCTCCCCAGGCCTCTCTGAAGGAGCATCAACCCTGCACTTTGTTCTGCTTTTTCACCCTCTTGCCGAGCATGGTGGCTAAGACTGACAAATCTTTGTTCCTTCCAACCCTTTATATATAATTTTTCCTACAAGTTGGTAGGCAGAACCTCTGCTTTTCCAAG